GCGCAAATTGTGCCCCCCCTAAACAAAAGCCCTCGTAAGCCCCTGCCTTATTTCTTAATTATTTTTATTATTTTCACGAAAACCATGAAAAGTTCGTATACGGGAATCGTTTAAAAGACCTTTGTAATGTAAACAATCTTAAATTGTAGAGACTTTTTCATGGATAAAACTTAAAAATTGATATTTTTGAAAGATCTGTATTATATAAGTATATATACAAATACATACATTTTACATAATATTTGAACTAATTTTTATGTCAATTTTTAAACTAGCTTTTGCTACGAAAGTCACGAGAGTCACGAAGATTCTGGTTTTGGAGTACTAAAATTGCACAAGAAAACAACGTCAAAAATGTTCAAAATGAGGACGACATTTAAAGGTAACTATAAAAACTCAAAAATCAGTAACCACTTCAATCAGCTGATTGCTTTCTTCATTTTCCCCAAGGATTTTTCAAAGTCAAATGATGCTAAACCTTTGAGCAGTCTTAACGTCTGTTTAACTCCTCTCCTGTGACTTGTCAGTTAATAAATGTTTCATTTTTCTATTCCTAGATTATTTAGAGTTTAATTTGATTACTCTTGGAAGAAACATTGATTAACCGTTGTTGTACTTTTCAGACATAATTTGTGTAACCTGTGTTAAGGTCCGTCCTAGTATACGATATTTTACCCCCACCCCCTGCTATGTAAATTTTTACATGACCGACTAATTTTCAACAAAAGTATTAAAGGTTAGGCTAGGTTAAGACAATTTCTGAGCCGAGCGCTGCGGCAAGAACAGGTTAGGGGGCCTAGCGCTGCGGCTAGGACAGGCTATACGCGCGGGGCTGCGGCCACAGGTCCAGTTATATCCATGTTCATACAAAATTGGGGTATGTCCTTGTAAACCATTTTTGACTATGATCGAAAGAAGGATATTTGGCCCCTCTCCCTTCATAAAAAATTAACATGGTCAGAGTATGATTTATAATATATATATAATATAATCCAACCTAACCCTGGATTAATACTGAACATATTTCATGTCCATTTTTTTATGAAGGGGGGGTCGTCCAAAAATCTTTTTCTTACTATTTTTGCAGTTTTGAATCAAATTCTAATCTGTTAATAAATTAATAACAATAATGTAAACGGTAAAAATATGGCTTTGAAGTTTATTTCCATTGAAAGTTCTCTTAACATAACGGTAATTTCCTAGAGAACGATTTTTGGGTGTTATTCACTGTATTGGGGAAGTAAATAATTTTTCAGGTTATATCAATGAATTTTTAGGTATAAGTACAAAAAAAATGAAAACCGTTGCCGTTTTGATCTCCAATTTTTCCCACCAGATCATCAAATCATTCTGACAAATATACATCATACACCTCATGCACCCCCTACATAACATTTCCTTTTTCAGGGGATTGGGGAATTAATGGAGCCCTGAAACTAACTATAACAATTACTACTATAAATAATTATTATTATACCTGTTTTAATGATTTCTATTGTAGGTGCGACTTCAATGTCCCTCAGAAGGATGGAAAGATTACCAATAATGCTCGTATAGTTGCTGCTCTTCCTTCTATTCAATACTGTCTTGACAACGGAGCTAAGGTTTGTTTTACAGTGATAACCAGAAATCTCTGGAATAGGAAGTCGACTTTTAGATTTAAGTTATGACTTTAGATAAGACAATGAACATGAAGCAAAGCAATTTAGCAGTGTAAACAAACCTATTTTCACTTTGTAAATGATTTAATAACTTGCTAGTAAAGCTATTTGCTTTTCAACATTATCAAATGCGCTTTAGTATTGCTTTAATGTCGTTTTCCTATTCAACCGTTTTTTTGTTAATACTGTAGCATAACAGACGCATTTTTCTCGTAAAATACAATTTTTTCTTAATAAAAAAAAACAAAGATAAAAAATGAACTAATTTATAAACGTTTTTAGTTTTTTGTTGTTGTTATTTTTACAAAATCACAAACGTTTAGAATTTACTAAATTTGTGAAACAAATTGTAAACAAATAGGGTTCCTTTTGTTAGTTTAGAAATTAGTGTTAATATAAGTAATAATTCTATTAATTGTTTTATTGCTAAGTAGCCAGTTTGATAAAATTGGAATTTTAAAATTAAAACTTTTGACTGAATTGTCAAGATTTATATAAAACCTTTATTAAAAAAAATAAAGATAATTTATGATTTAAAGGGTCTGTCTATGTAATTCTAGGCCAAAGTGTCACTTTAAGTGTTAAATTCTGACACTGTATCAATTTCTTTAGTCTTCTGTACTGTTCTGTATTCTATTAAATTGTACTTTAGTCTGTTGTACTATGCTCCCACTTGGGACGTCCTGATGGCCAGACGAATTTGAAGTACACTTTGGCTCCCGTAGCAGAAGAACTAAAGACTCTTCTCNGTCAACAGACAAGATCGCTCCCCCGTTTTTATTTATGTTACCATCATTTAATTTCCGAAATGAATCCTTGATTTCACTAATTCAGTGAAAAAACACGAAATATTTTTCTTATATAACTGGTGTAAAAAATTATTCTTTAAGAGAGTAGGTGGGGATGATTTAAGATTTATACACCCTAGAGATATTCTGTACTTAACCCATCGGATAGTGATTAATATTTTTGATCTGAAGTATGTTTCTAAATTCATTTCGCTTTGCTTTAAGGGATACAAAATTTAAATATTTTTACTGTTTTGTTTTAAGGGATGTCAAATTTCTTCCTGATTGCGTTGGAGCCGAAGTAGAAGCTGAATGCGCTGATCCTGCGGTAGGATCAGTAATCCTTCTAGAGAACCTCAGGTACCTAGTCTAGATCCTTCAGTAGGATCAGTAATCCTTCTGGAGAACCTCAGGTACCCAGTTTAGATCCTGCGGTAGGATCAGTAATCCTTCTAGAGAACCTCAGGTACCTAGTCTAGATCCTTCAGTAGGATCAGTAATCCTTCTAGAGAACCTCAGGTACCCAGTCTAGATCCTTCAGTAGGATCAGTAATCCTTCTAGAGAACCTCAGGTACCTAGTCTAAATCCTTCAGTAGGAGCAGAAATCCTTCAAGGAAATGGAACTTTGTCAAACATTTTCTAGAAAAAATCTAAATAATTTACTATTTTGTGTGTTCAGGTTCCACGTTGAGGAGGAGGGAAAGGGAGTTGACGCTGATGGAAATAAAGTTAAAGCTGACAAAGAAGCTGTTAAAGTCTTCAGAGCCTCGCTCAGGTTGTGTTACTTACTCAGCGGAAGACATAATTTAGTAAAGCTGTAGATATATTAAGTACTGATCCAGGATCTGGATCAAATTATAATTCACATCCTTATCTTTGATCTTATTTAGCAGTAGTACTTGCGATATAAATGTTTGATTGTAGAAAGTTGGCTGATGTTTACGTCAACGATGCTTTTGGAACCGCCCACCGAGCCCACTCTAGTATGATGGGAGATGGATTTGAGAAGCGTGCAGCCGGCTTCCTTCTCAAGAAGGAACTCGAGTACTTCGCCAAGGCTCTCTGCAATCCTCAGCGCCCGTTCTTGGCTATCCTGGGAGGTGCCAAGGTGCAGGATAAGATCCAGTTGATTGAGAACATGCTCGACAAAGTTGACGAGATGATCATCGGCGGAGGAATGGCCTTCACTTTCAGGAAAGTCATCGACAATATGCCTGTAAGTAATAAAATTTCATTTTTTAAAAAGAAGATAATTTAAAAATTCGATCAATGTAGATTGGAACATCCCTGTATGATGAGGAAGGAGCAAAGATCGTCAATAAACTGGTGGAGAAAGCTAAAGCCAACAATGTCAAGGTACTTTTTCAAGGCTACTACGTATTTTATTTAAACTGTTTTCATTCTTATGAAATATGCTTGCACGGGGCAAAAAGAAGGTAAGGTTTTAATTTATTGAATTGAAGTAAAAAATTAAGGGGGGGGGGGGAAATAATTGAAAATATACTAAAGTATTTGTTTCTAAAGGGAATGGGGATTGGTTCAAAAGAATTAACCCGATTTCCGAAATTTAAGGGACTGTAAGCGTTATATCAAGTGACCTTCCATTGAAAGAGGGACATCCATGATTCACATCCACAATGGTACCCCTTAAACCTTTGACTGACCATCGAGGACACATATTTCAGTGTATAAATCTCTTAAATGCTGTGTAAAAATCTGTAAAATTGGAGTGTACGTTAGCGTACTGCCTAAACTCAATCAATGTCGTCACATTTATTCATTGAAAAGTTAGAATTTTCTTTGCCCAACGCGGTTTTAAAAAATTTCCTCTACAAGAAAGTAATATAAATAGTTCTGAAATACAAAACAGCCTGCAAATAAAGTTTTAACAATTACAAGCGTTTCTGTAAATAAATATTACTTTATGTCATCCTTGTTCACGCAATGGTTGAAAGGGTACCAATGTAAAAATGGGATGCCCCTCTTTAAAGGAAGTTCACTTGAAAGCAGAAAGTCTCTTCAAAATCTGCATTAAAAACCTGGAGAAAGAGAATAGAAAGGACTAATATTTTAATCAAGATATTTTACCTTGTTTATAGTTAATTCTATTTTTAAAATTCAATTCCATGTAGCATGTCAATGCCTAAAAATAGAAATAGAATTGAACTAAATTGTTTAATATTATACTCTAGCTTCACTTCCCCGTCGACTTTGTGACCGCAAACAAGTTTGGCGAGGATGCTGAGACTGGAGAAGCAACTGTGGAATCTGGAATTCCGGTAACACTTTTGTATTTGTATGGATTTTTTTTATCAATGACACTTTTTGTGAAGTTTACTTTAATCAAAAATATATTGATGTGTTCTGTGTAGGTTATTTTATGGATAGTTCTGAATTAATTAATTAATAATGTCATGAAGGTTGGATGTATCTGAAGTAATCAATTAATCAAATGTCATGAAGGTTGGATGTATCTGAATTAATCAATTAATCAAATGTCATGAAGGTTGGATGTATCTGAATTAATCAATTAATCAAATGTCATGAAGGTTGGATGTATCTGAATTAATCAATTAATCAAATGTCATGAAGGTTGGCTGTATCTGAATTAATCAATTAATCAAATGTCATGAAGGTTGGATGTATCTGAATTAATCAATTAATCAAATGTCATGAAGGATTAATGTATCTGAATTAATCAATTAATCAAATGTCATGAAGTTGGACGTATCTGAATTAATCAATTATTCAAATATTATCAAGAACGGATGTACCTGAACTAATCAACTAATTAAATATTTACAAGGATGAATGAATCCGAACCAATCAATTAAATATTATCAAGAATGGACGGATCTGAATAAATAAATTGATTAAATACTACCAAAAATGGATGGATCTCAATAAATAAATCATTATCAAGGATATATGGATCTGACTAAATTAAACTTGACCAGGATGGATGGATCTGAATTAATCAAATATTATCAAGAATGAATGGATCTGAAATAATTAATTAATAAAATGTTATTGATGGATCTAGTTGAATCAAATGTTATCCAGGATTGATGGATCTGAATTAATCAAATGTTATGGATGGGTGGATCGGATCTGAATTGATTAATCAATCAATATTATCCAGGATGGATGGATGGGTCTTGACTGTGGCCCAAAATCTCGAGCTCTGTTTTCTGAAGTTGTTTCTAGAGCCAAGGTTGTAGTTTGGAACGGGTAAGTTCAAGGTTGGAAAAATATACAGATTTTTTTAAATATATTTCAATACAGTGGTAGGCCATTACAATGAAGACAACTTTTTTATTTAAAACTAGCAACTCTCGTATAAATGCACATGATTAATTATCAGTGATCACCATGATTTGATTTGAAAATAGAAAAATGTGCTGAATGCACATGATTAATGATCAATGGTCACCCTGATTTGATTTGAAAATAGAAAAATGTCGTAATGCACATGATCACTGATCAGTGACAACCATGATTTGATTTGAAAATAGAAAAATGTCATAATGCACATGATTAATGATCAGTGATCACCATGATTTGATTTGAAAATAGAAAATTGTCATAATGCACATGATTAATGATCAGTGATTTGAAAATAGAAAAATGTCGTAATGCACATGATTAATGATCAGTGATCACCATGAATTGATTTGAAAACAGAAAAATGTCGTAATACACATGATTAATGATCAGTGATCACCATGATTTGATTTGAAAATAGTAAATTGTCGTAATCCACATGATTAATGATCAGTGATCACCATGAATTGATTTGAAAATAGTAAATTTTGTTATTGCCCTTGTTTTTTGTTCTTTGTTCCCCTTGTTTTGTTTTGAAATTGGTAAATGTCGTAATGCACATGATCATTGATAATTGATCACCTTGATTTGATTTGAAAATAGAAAAATGTCGTACTGCTCATGATTACTGATCAGTGATCACCATGAATTGATTTGAAAATAGAAGACTATCGTAATGCTCATGATAATTTATCAGTGATCACTCTGATCTGATTTAAAACTAGAAAACTCTCGTATAAATGCTCATGATTAATGATCAGTGATCACTCTGATTTGATTTAAAACTAGAAAACTGTCATAATGCACATGATTAATGATCAGTGATCACTCTGATCTGATTTAAAATTAGAAAACTCTTGTATAAATGCACATGATCGTTGATCAGTGATCACTCTGATCTGATTTAAAACTAGAAAACTCTCGTATAAATGCACATGATCGTTGATCAGTGATCACCCTGATTTGATTTCTAGTCCTGCTGGCGTATTTGAGTTTGAGAAGTTTGCGAATGGAACTAAGGCTCTGATGGATGCTGTAGTGGCCTGCACAGAGAACGGGGGATGTACAATTATTGGTAAGAATCTTTAAAGGGTAGGTTCAAACTTAAAATTAATGATAATGGTACTGGATTTTTTTTTCTATGGCCACCACATTTTTTGGGTTTCCAATTTTTCCTGATAAATTTGGGTCGGTATCTAGCCTTACAGAACATTTCCTGAACCTGTAAAAAAGATTAAACATTCAAAAACTTTCGGAAATTAAGGGCGGAATCTATCAATATAATTATCATTACTAATATCTTCAAAAAAGGTTCCGTAAGGCCTTGACGGATCCAAATTGATGCTGCAAAATTGAAAACTCTAAATATTTTCCATGAGATTTTATGGGTTTCCTTCTTTTCGATACTTCTTTCAGTGGAAAATAAGGCTTCTCTTTTATTTCCAAACATTTTAGTGAAAAAATGTAGAAATGGGGGATGTGAGTTTTGAAGAACCGTGTAGTGACCTACAAATTTCTAGGTGGAGGAGATACTGCCACCTGTGCTGCCAAGTATAATACTGAGGATAAAGTTAGCCATGTATCTACTGGAGGTGGAGCTAGCCTCGAGCTACTGGAAGGTATAATAATATGAATCTAGGACAATCCAGTTAAGTAAACGGTGCAAATGACTTCACATTTCCAAACTCCAAATCGGTTTCTAAAAATACAAAAACCTGGAAACTTAAATATAAATTTAATTTATTGCTGTTTAAAAAAGGAAAATTCTGTAAACCTTGTAAGCATCTCAAAGATGAAAAATATGTTTTATCAAAATTAAACTAAATCTGGACAGTTTTTAATCTAGGTAAAGTCCTGCCAGGGGTTGCCGCGCTGACCGATGCTTAAAGATCTGAACCTAGTAGTAGTGTAGTGATGTACACATGTTAGTGCTGTACATAGCACACCTTATGTTCAACTGAAAATACGGCTTTTTAAAACGGACATTATTGTACCCATGCCAAATGTATTTCCAAACCTGGTGTAAATTTTATGTTAAATAAAATTTTATTTAAAATAATTTTAAGTCTTTTGCATTGATTGTTTTGAAGTAAGTGTAGTTTTAATGGAAATTTTACTCAGATAGACAATTAATCTAATAGAAGAAAATAGACACAGTGTAGGTTTTGTTTGTCAATCTATTTCAAATTCTTACGTCTATGTTTCCGAATAAATAGTTTGACTACGGAACTCGGAAAGCTGAAAAATTGATATTTTCTCCAGTAAAGGTTTCAAGTAGATCATTCCAAATTGTGTTTAGCAACAGGAATTTCAATTTTTATAAATTTAATTTGCAAACCTTATGTTCCAAAATGTCCACTATTCTGACGGTATTACACGCAAAAATATCTTCCTTTTGCTGCATTATAAGTAAACTGGGAGTGAGGAATAGAAGGGAGAAATAACTGAGGCTGTTCGCCCTACCATATGATTGTACATATACTTAGCAGACGGTTCAGTATTTCACTGAAATAAGAAATATTTGTCTGATGTACAATTACCGCGTAAACAATAACCTTTTCTGAATATTTCATATACAGATGGAGTACCCGCCTGCAAAGCACGTATAATCATATGGTAGGGCGAACCGCGTCATTTATATCCCTTCTTTTCCTTACTTCTTGGCTGGACCATTAAATTATAAGGATACATTGTTTATATTACTGCAATGCTACGGGTAAATTGGAAGCTTTCTTTATAATTATTATGAAAAAAAAAGATTTAAACCACTGCACAGGTTGAAAATCTAATGCATAAGTCTGTTACAGCATTGAGCAACTTTTTTACGGCCCTGAAACAATTACTGCAGGGCATGGAATTGATAGTAAATCATGTGACTGTATCAAAAGCCCTGCATATGTATATGTACAATGTACATGCGTAAATGAATGCTAGTGCTACTTAATTAATACTTTCCAACAAAAATGAAATTGTTTCTGCCCTTTAGTATAACAAGATGTACTTATACTCAAGCAGAGGCGGCTTAATAGAGGAGGGGACAGCTTCATTGCCTCTTTTAATCGATTTTGAAGAAAACAAAGTTGCAGGAGTTAGACATTATAACTCTGAGTGACCATGCATTTAGTCGGTTTGGCATAAGTATTGGATACAAACCAATCAACATACGTGTAATTATATAGTACTATTCAAATTGGTTAGAAGTGTTCTCTATCTGTAGAATGGGTAATCCCAAAAACAAAAAGGACAGGTTCCAGAAGTCCATCTTCGATTTGGCTGAAATTTTATCCACAGCTTAATGTTTGCAAAAAATATATTTCATTTTACAAAACTTTGTTGTGGACTTCCGGGGTAGGAGTTAAAGGGAGCAAATTTTTAATGAAAAAGTTAAATTTTTGAACTAACTTAAAATCGAAATACTGAACTATATAAAAAAAATATTTCGAAATATTTCAGGAGTAACAAAGAAAAAATGTATCAAATTGAAAAAAACATAGTAGCCATTTGAAAACATTGTTTTCTCTTTTGTGAAATAAATTATTATAGCTAAAGTGGCCAGCGTTACCCGTGGAAGAAAAAAATAACACTCTCCGGCCACCCATAAGTGTCCACAAAAAATTTCAGCCCAATTGATCTAGCCGTTTGGCCGGCTATTGGCAACATATATATATGTGTAAGAATGTGAGGGGGGTCGTTATTTCATGAATGTTAGGTAGGCTCATTGGTTCGTCAATCTATTCACAGGACAAAGACTTGTAGAAGGTGCAGTACCGACCTGACTTTTAATGTACAGTACCACGCCTTATATTTATACTTGACATAAGACATTTGTTTAGTTTAGTTTAGTTCATATTTGCTTAATGTCGAAGGAGTCGAAGAAACATTTTGTAAACATTTAAACATTTCCATTAAAAAAATCTAAAAACAGTAAAATTAAAAATCGTGAATGAAATGCTCTCTTTACTAAATATTTAGCTAAAGTGTCTGTTCGAGGGAAAAATAAATATATGTTTTGTGTAAAATATCCAACATTTCAGGAAATATGATCAGTTTAAACATACATACACAGAAAACCCATTCCATAATTAGCTTTATACTATAATTTGATTAGTTTTACGTTCATTTAGAGTTCATGTAAATGTCTCTTCTTTTTTCCAACAAGCAGCCATAAAGAACAGATTTAGGGGCTCCAGCAGCACCCCAAATCCTTGATTTCGTCAGAGTAGCGTGTTGAAAAATCCTATTAGCGGGTAAGAGGTTTATGGAATAAATCAATTTTGGCTGACCCTCCCCTAATACCCCATTGTGTAAAATCTAATTTTTAATATCAATATTTTATTCAAATTAAAGAAAAATTGAATGCTTTCTGAAATAAATTAACTGAGAATTTTTATTTCTTTCCTGTCTTATGAAATGATAAGATTTAAATAATTTTTGTATTTTGAGAAGCTTATCCTTTTCCCTTCTTGTATTAGAATGATGATTTATTTTTATTTTTTCATGTTTTTTGGAGCTGTACTTATCTTTTTATCTATTGTATGATATAGAATACAGTATACAAGAGCATGTGTAACAACTCATTTTTTGTTACTTAATATTTGAATATAATAAACTATCGTGCTGCATGGGGGATATTGCAGAGGGGTCTATCTAATTCATCAGATTAAGAGATGCTTCCTTTCAAATCTGAGAAGCCATTTTTCTTCGGCTCACGCTCAGGACCTCGCATATGTAGAGGTTCACTTCCTGGGGTCACTTCTAGGGACCACGCATTTTAGGGGTCACTTCCAGGGACCTTGAATGTAGGGATTCACTTTTAGGAAACATACATACAAAGGGCCTTTATTTTCGGGGACATCGCTCATAGGGGGTCACTTCCGGAGGGCCACACACACAGGGGTTCTCTTCCAGGGACCACATACATAGGGGTTTACTTCCAGGGACCGCACATTTTAGGGGTTTACATTCTCTTCATTGGAGTATCTTGACTTTCTTCATTGGCTATATTTCTGCAATATCTTTAGTGTGATGTGATGGGTATAAACCCGCGACTTCCAGTGCGGACACCAATCCACTTTCTGGTCGGTGGAAAGATTGCTTAACAGTGATCAAACGAGAACTGGAACGTGAATTGGTTACACATTCTTACCACCCCACCCCATAAAATAGAATGATGATTCTTATGAACCATCGTACGTACAGCAAAAAGAAATTTGGGGACAAATTGAAATTATGTATAAAAGAAGGCCAGGTTTAAGAGAAGCTGTGTGTACTCATTCTAAAGCTTGCAGGGGATTTTTTTTCTCGAATTTTATAGTTTTGGGAAAACTGAATATTTTCATGCTTGAGCTTGTCTTGATCTTTACGGGCATTTACTTCCTTTACTTTCCCTGTATTAAAAATAAGTATTGGCTATTCGTGATTCAAACATTTTCAGTAATACATTTATTTATAGTTTAACTCAAATCTCTACTATTTAAACCTTCATTTTTTTTGTTTAATGAGCTTCTCAATACCAGGGAAAGAAAACATTATGCAAAACAGGCAAAATATCTATCTTAATAAACTAAAATATGTGATAAGTTAAAAAACTAGTTTTTTAGTCTTTTGTCATTAATTCTGACCTTTTTTGAGTTCTTAAGTCAAAAAAGAAATTTCATCTCCGACGCTCGACCTTATTAAATATATATCTTTTGTTACTAACATTTCAGCGCCTCCCTTTACAAATTCCTAGCTACGTGCCTGGATCCATCCCTTCCACCCCCCTCTCTCTCTCACTTCGATCCCCTCCATCCTCACATTTGCCCTCTTTTACTACATTACTCTCCACCATTCGAGAAGAGAGAATAGGAGAGTAAACATGTGTTTTGTTAACATGGGCGCAACTTGGAGAAGGGGAAGGGGGGGGAGAATTTTTGCTATATTACACAAAATTCTTGTTTCCTCATCTCTTCTGCAATTTCACCACATACTAGAATAATTTATCGTAGTTTTCCGATAATAACGCCCGTAGGGAATTGAGTTTTTATAACAATCTCTAATTTTCTAATTCTTAAATTTTTGCAACCTTATATCATAGACCTTAGATATTTCAAACTTTGAGTTCTAACTACTTTTAGATCAAATAGTCTAAATTTAAAATATCAAAGGTTTACACCACCAGGTTGCAAAGATATTTCGTTTTTTTTCAAAAGGTAAAAACAAAATGCTTTACGATCAAGATTTAGAAAATTTAGAATTTGAATTGTGGAAGCAATATTCATGGAAATCAGTGAAAAGTTTGCAAACGTTCTAAAGTTCCAAACTGATTCTGGCGACTCAATTAGGAGTTTGGAATCAAGACAGTAACAGTAACAGTAAGTTTGCAAACGTTCTAAAGTTCCAAACTGATTCTGGCGACTCAATTAGGAGTTTGGAATCAAGAAAGTTGTTGCACATTTAAAAAATAGATTTTTACTAAAAAAATTCAAAAAATTTTGTGGACCTAATGTTTTCAAAATTACTTTATTCATTTAATGTTAGCCTATAATAAAATTAACATTTCAGATACATATTACAGGACTAGACTATATAGTATATACTGCACTTTACTGTTAAACACAGTTCTTTGTTGCACCAAAAGTAAACTGCCCTATACTGTACTTCACTTTACAATAGTGTACTGGACTGTTCTTTGGTGTACTGTGCCTCTTAAAATCTTTCTCTACTTTACTGTACTGTACTGTCTTGTACTTGACTACACTATATGACAATGTTGTTGATGATGATGTGGTTACTGGTGTACAGTTTACCTGCACTAGTGTCTGCACAGCAAGAAACAGACACTGTACAGCACACACACCAGACAAACAGGCAGGATACTTATCTTGAAAACTCAACTACAGGGTTACCCACAAAGGACTGCAAAGACGACTTTAAAATCTTCAAATATAACGATCCAAAGTGGAAATTTAATTTTCTGGTTTGAAGGTGGTCTTTGATGTCTTTGAATGGTTTAATTAATAAAAAGGCATAGAAAGAAAGAAGCAGCTTATAGATGCAGGGAATCCTGAATATAATGAAACAGGCAGTATACATTTCGTACAATCGTCTTTGAAGTCTCATCCTTTGTGGATAACCCTGTAGATTATCAAGTACAGAGTTTCCCACAAAGAATGAGACTGCAAAGACGGCTTAAAACTCTTTTAATATGATGACTTTTATTTGAAATTAAATCTTCTCCATTGAATTCGGTCTGTAAATGACTTATTGAATGATTTGGCATAGCAAAAAAGGAGTTTGTAGCTGATGGGAATCAAAAGCATGTAAGGAAAAAGGAAGTACAAATTCCGTCGTCTCTAAACCCTGTAATAGGTCGCAATGGGATTTTTGAACAATTATTTATGATGTCCTTGGTGTCAAATTTGACAAGAAATATAAGTTCAAGTCAGTTAATTTTTAAATTATTTTAAATTATAATTTTTGATTATAGAGATCAAGGTTCTGAGTATACTTCAGGGATAGGCCAACACTGCACAAGGGTAAGATATCTTATTTTATAAAATTGAATTGTTTGTACAGGGGGTAACCAACAAATGATAAGACTTCTAAGACGACTGTATACTTGTTTCTTTGTACAATTATTAAATACGCCATTAAACAACAATAATTCAAGGCAGAATCTTCATGTATTATAACAGTTTAAGGTCGGCTTTACGTCTCATCCATTGTGGGTAACCCTGTATCTGTTTACAGTTTTATATTCCTCAATGCATATTATCATCAATAGTGAGTTTTAACTTCAAATATTTAAACTCTGAGAAGTAGAATGAGAATAATCAAATCACGTCGAAGGTTGAAATCTTAGTGTTTTCAATCATAGCTTCTCTTATTAAAATCTATAGAAAGAATACAATTTTTTTATAATTTCTACAATTTGTAACATTAACAAGAAAACTTTCTTCTCTCATTCTTGTGCTTCACGAGGTCACAAAGTCGTTCCAGGTTGACGTCGCCTGAATAAATTTACCTTCTCCGTCAGTCTGTTCAATGTGCTAGATATATAATTGTACCAAGAGTAATTCACTCAGCTAAACCAGACTCATATGTTCGTGCAGGGTCCAAATATTAGACAGTTATGATATTAGTCTGCCTGAGCTGAACAATTAGAATGGTGGATATCGAGCTAAATGCTTGATCCTCTCTCTTTCTAAATATCGAGACTAACCTAATTTTGTATGATTTATACTTGTTTCCTAAAAAGTGTAAAAAATTCAACCATTCAGAGTCGCATAAAAGTAGCCGATAAATTTAAAATTATGCGCGCCATCTAAGATTAATATACAGAAACAGGACGGACTCTCTAATTAAAAAAACGGTTTTTGATTTTTCTTTACAATATCCAAGAACGAACGGTTTAAGAAGAACATCGAAAGTTTGTCCATTGGATACTCAGATTAAGTAATCGGGATTAAGGATATCTCACTCTAAAGTTTTCAGCTCTGGTTATATTTGTTAGATCATGTGAATATAAGATCTAGAGGAAACTGGAAACGTTAGTTTTGTTTTATTGACGTAGAGAGCTGAGTTGTAATAAACATGAAAATCAAATATTTACTCACAATCAACTCAATTGCAGATATTAGTTGAAGGCAGGAATCAAAAATAATATGTACACCCTTATAAGTGACGTACATGATCATGAGATCTGCAAAGCGTGATATTTCGATTTATAAAAATTGGGCCACATTGATCAATAAATTTCTGGTTGACTTAAAATTTAGAAATCTTAAGAAAGGAAATGAGCCTTTGCCGCAATCTCTGATAATTTCTAATCTCTTTATCTTTGCAACCCAACCTCATAGACCTTAGATATTTCAATCTATGAATTCTGTCAGTTCAAATAGTTTAAACTTAGATATCTAAGGTCTACAGCATTAGGTTGCTAAGATATAGGGATTAGAAAATTAGAGTTTGTGGCAAAAACTCAATTTTTTTGACAAAAGTAGATTTTTCAATGGAATCATGTCCGATCTTATAAGAATAAATTTTTACATTTTTCCTAAAAAATACTTTACCGACCCTGTGAATTGATAACCTATAATTTATGAGTCACCTACTTAAATATTTATAATACAAAAATCTTGATATTTATACAATATTATCTAGTTCATTATCCGAACATGTACATTGTACACTGTGCGTACAGTGTACTGCTAATGTCTTTGCATACCTAGCTAAGGCCGTTCCTTCCATAAACTACATTGGTCGACAATTTGACGTCTCCTATATTGGTCGTCAAGTGTCCGGAGAAATTATCATTAGATAAGAATTTAGCATGAGACATCTAGCGGCCAACATATCGTCCCCCAAAGTACGTGACTACACGACCACTATCTATAAAGAGAACGGGCTCTGTGTTACAAAATATATATTGTATTGCAAGATTTGAGAGTTTCTTTACATTCCTGAAGTACACTTTATGTAATCACCAATATAGCGATGTCCTTTTTGTTGTACGCTGTTGAAATATACAAGTTTACCCACAAAGAATGAGACTAAAAAGACGACCTAAAACTCTTAAATATGACGATCTGATTTGGTCTTCCCTGCATTCAATTTAGTCTTTAAATATTAAACTAAATGGTTTGGTAACCTGGATAGATAATATTTCTAGATTATGTAAAGAAAAAAGCTGGTATGTAAAGTTGCAGAGAAGTATGGATATAAGAAAAATTAGTCTCATCCCATCCGGGATATTTTAATAAGTCTTTGAAATATTTATTTTTACAGGACTGCTCTTCAACAGCCCCACATCATAGTTTACATATAGAGGATGGTTATGATCATCATTCAGTACCCCCTAGTCAGGGGCCTATTAGGTATATATAAGAAACATCGGTACCCCCTAGTCAGGGGCCTATTAGATATATATAAGGAACATCAGTACCCCTAGTCAGGGGTATATAAGGGATATCGGTATAACCCCCTAGTCAGGGCATATTAGAGGACATCATTACCCCCTAATCAGAAGCCTATTAGGTATACTAGGGGACATTAGTACCCCCTAGTCAGGGTTATATTAGGTATGTTAGGGGACAAAGAGAACCTAGTATGAGACTCATATAACTGTGGAATAAGAAACCGACTGTTGGCCCAAGATATGACTTTAAAGGTATTTTCCCAAAGGTTAGGTTAGGCCTTCATAGGCGCCGCAGGCTTTAATAAGGACCGAGCGCTGCGGCAAGGATGGGCAATTAAAGGGGCCGAGCGCGGCAGCTAGAACAGGCTAGGTGATTCAGCGCTGCGGCTAGGACAGACTTGGGAAGTTGCCGCATGGAAAATTGCGTGTTTGGGAAGTTGCCACTTGGGAAAATACCCTTAGGAAGTTTCCGGTTGGTAAAAAGCCATTGGGAAAGTACCTAACATCACTTTAAATTGTTCAAAAAACACGAAACACAGAAGTGTAGTTAAATCAAAACCATTTCACTAATCTGGAAAAACTATTTTCTTTATAAAATCATTCAATAGTTATAAGATTGCTTAAATATTGTCTTCCTATTCCACAGTTTTAAAGAATTCAATGTATATGGGAAGGCAAATGAGTCTATAGAGCTATGCCCCCTGCCCAGATTTCGCCCCTTTAACCCTATCCCGATTAGGCTACTTTTTAATACTCGAAATCAAGAAATAAAAAATCGCTTATTTGGCAGTCATCCAACTTTTGCGCAAAATCGGCGATTTTTTGGGATTTCGTAATTAAGTATATACTCTATATTTCAGGGTCCTATTTTCTATAAACCTTCGAAATGTTCTTGGTGTAGATGAGATAGGGGAGAGGGTTTCTTTAGAAACTACACTTAGGAATAGATATATTAATATATATATATATATATATATATAAAAATAATTTTATGAATTTCAACAAATTTTGATAAAACTATTACAGTTTGTTTTTCGTTGTACTAAGGTGAATTTAAAACATGAACACACCTCACCCCACTCCTAAGTTGCATGATCTGAGCCGGTACAACATATACTGTATATGCATTCAGTCGTACCGGCCAGTTTGGACTACCCAATGTATAGACTCAGAATCGACCCACCACGTTTTATTCAAGAAATGTTTCCTCGGCCTGGCTAGATCACCACAGTGACCTAAATATTTGTTTACACGGAAAGTGTAAACAATGTAAACCAGAGCCCAAAACTTAAGACAGGGTATCGTTATGAAAACCAGTTTTAAAACCCGGGTTTCACGAATGGGGTTACGCAGTTTTGTGAATATCAATATTTTGTAATGAAACATTATTTTTTCAGTTTGTATATATTTTCCATTTTTTTCGAATTTCTTAAATCAAAATTTACACAAATGTTAAGACCCCAAAAACGATAACGATACTCTTTTAAATTTCGGGCTCTGATGTAAACATCTCCGAAGGGAAAACTTATGAATTAATGAATTTTAATTTGACACAAAAAAAGGTATTTGTAGTTTGAACCAGTCTTGACTAGTTCAACTATGCAGCTCTGTCGTTTAGCGGGGGATACAATGAAAGAAAATGCTCCATACAATTTTTGCACCCCTCCCCTTTTGCCTGCGAACGCATACCTTGAAAATGATCCTGCTTCATAAAATGTCGTTCAAAAATTCTGTCCTTAGCATCATTACAGAGTTTCCTGAATAAGTATGTATACTTTTAAGAATGTTTTTCTTTTTTTACAAAATTCTTCAATATATGAGTGTAAGCGGATAGAAAACGAGATTCTCAAGAGGGGACCTAAGTTAAAGACGACTTTACACGGAGACTTATTGTTAACAATGAGATTCATGATTATTTTTAAACCAATAATTTTAACCTAACAGGTTCCTTACGGGTTTCTGTAAGTGACAGCTTCTAAATCAAAATAAAAACTATCTTTAGAAATACTGAAGTAAAACAAAAAAGAAAAGAAAGGTATTATGAATAAAATATCAAAGATATTTTATATTTATATTTGGTAGAATGTACTGGAAAGATCGCAGACTAAAAATTAGGCAACATCAAAGTGTTAATATGTTAATATTACTTTTGTAGAGTATGGTTAAATCAAATTTTGAATGTTTGCATGATCTCGATATCCAATGTGGGTACTTTTAAATTTGAGGATAAAGTTAAAGTTATCCCTGCAGGGTAACAGTGTTTGATCCCGAGATTCACAACAAAAAAATTCTAACATCAGATTTAATGAATAACGATACATCGTTGAATCACGTAAACTAAGTTGAACCCCTTACACTGTACGTAGTCTCAGATAAATTTTTTTAATAATAATGATATTGTGATTATTAAAATATATATATATTCTTTAGTTTCACTTAGTGCTTTTATCTTCAAAATATTTCTAGTTTTTTTTAATGACAAATATTCTAATGAAAAATAACACTTTGGTGCAGAGATGAATTCCTTCCTTCAATTAATAATTATCTTCATTTGGATAATAGATTCGCCAATCATATCTGGATACCAGATATATTCATAGATCAGGTATATATACAGACATATTAGTCGATATATTCATAGATCAGGTATATATACAGACATATCAGTCGATATATTCATAGATCAGGTATATTTACAGACATACCAGTCAATATATTCATAGATCAGGTATAAATACAGACATATCAGTCGATGTATTCATAGATCAGGTATATATATATAGACATATCAGTCGATATATTCATAGATCAGGTAGGTATACATACAAACATATTAGTCGATATGTTCATAGATCAGGTATACACCTAGACATATCATTATATGTTGATAGATCAGTTATATATACAGACATATCAGAATATATTCATAGATTAGGCATATATAGACAAATCAGAATATGTTCATAGATTACGTATATATCCAGACATATAGATATATCAGGATATATTTATAGATCTGGAAATATATATAGACATATCAGGATATATTCATAGATCTGGAAATATAAATAGACATATCAGGATATATTCATAGATCTGGAAATATATACAGACATATCAGAATATATTCATAGATCTGGAAATATATACAGACATATCAGAATATATTCATAGATCTGGAAATATATACAGCCATATCAGGACTTATTCATAGATCAGGTATATACAGACAAATCAGGATATATTTATAGATTAGGTATATATACAGACATATCAGGATATATTTATAGAACAGGCACATATACAGACATATCTTACTTCTAAAAGTTATTGTTAATATTTAGGCGATAAGTTTACGGCAGCCTAAACTTCACCTTACCCCTATATCCTTGAGAATATATAAGAACAGTACTCTTAGATATTCAACCAGGTTTGCATGGCTTTTACTAACTTAATAAGGAAATTTATTAAACCCTTCCCTGAAAGACACTCCAATCCAATTACTATCACGAATTTGTGACCTCGTTGCACTACTAGTTTTGATTTTTTTTCTTTCAAGAAAAAGAAAACCAAAAACAAATTAGCAAAAATGTACAATTTTCCAAAATGCGTGTAGATGCTTTTTAAAAAGGTTACAAATGTAATAAAAAATAAATAAAAAAATGTAATTGCATTGTTGTTTATAATATGTATTTAATAAAATAAGAATATGATTACAGAGTGAACTATGATGTTGCTTGTAATATGGATTTAATAAAATAAGAATATGATTGCAGAGTGAACTATGATGTTGCTTGTAATATGGATTTAATAAAATAAGAATATGATTACAGAGTGAACTATGATGTTGCTTGTAATATGGATTTCCATTTCTACCCCCACGATGTTCAAACTTGTCTCATCAAGTAAGTACTAACTTTGTTTATTATTTATGGAATTTAAATCTGTTCAACTTGATGGTGTAACCATGTCAATATTTTTGTGTACTAAGGGTGATATATATTGGAATATTGGAATTAAGCCAACCGCCCACTGGGAGTTGAAACGTTTTCAATTAAAAAATATTGCAATCAAAAAAAAATTTCAAAATCGTCCATACGGTTGCTAATTGATAATTTAATATCGGAAAAATCACCGTAAGGCCCCAAAAAGATATTTTGAAAAATTTAATGTTATACATATTATGCTGAATTCAAATCTACAAAGCGCTTTTAAAAATAATTAAAAGTAAAGAAGTTGTTGCCAAATAACAGTCCAAAAATCCGTTTTTTTACTTTAAAAGTTTTTAATGAATTTTCTAGCTCTAACTCAGTTAATTTTCATTTTATTAAAGCGCTTAACATATTTGAAATCATATTGAATATGACTATACATGACTTCTGTGAACTATGCACTAGCACTGTTTACTTTGTACTGTATACTGCGTAGGTACACAAACTGTGTACTATGTATTGTGTACTGCGTAGGTGCACATACTGTGTACTATGTATTGTGTATTGCGTAGGTGCGCATACTGTGTACGATGTATTGTGTACTTTGTAGGTGCACATACTGTGCACTATGTATTGTGTACTATGTATAGGTATGAGAGTTTTGGTTTGACTAAAGATGAGATGTACCTGGAGTGGGGGCAGGATAATAACGTGAACAAGAACATATCCCTTGCACAGTTCGATGTTACAGTGGAGCTGGTGGTACCACACCCAACAAATATTTTAAAGAGACTGTTAACTGTTTAAAATAAAAATGTATGGTGCCATATTGTTTTAAGGATTTTTGAAAGAAACTGTGAATTAATCTCTCCTAGAAAGCCACAAAAAAAAAACCGAGAAGCCATCCATTTAAAGGTACTGTAAGCGTAATTTCAAACGACCCTCTATTGAATGATTTACAATATTAACCTTGAAACCTTTATCTGATCAATAATGTGGAATATAAAGTCGTCTTTTCAGCTTAAAAGTTTTTATTCTGTTTATTTCTCCCTGATTGTCCTGCAGAAGAAATGCATATTCACTTTGAAAAATAAAACAGTTTTAAAAATCATAAATATTGATACATAATTCATATTTCATCAGGACAAAGCTTTAAAGGGTATTGTTGTAAATCCGGCATTGAAATCTTCACGTGGAGGGTTTATGGAAATTACCCTTACAGTTCCTTTAAGTCGTCTTTCTTATTGTAATATATGGCACCAGACCATTTGATCTAATTAGTGAACAGTCTCTATCAATCGATTGAATTGAGCAAATGAGATCCACATATATGTTTTAGATAAAAGGTTTTATATGTTAACTGTAGAGCTTCAATTATATCCATGGGAGTAAGGAATTGAAACTTTAAAGTAGTAAGGAATAAGAAGCCAATAGATAAAAAAGTGAGAGAATTGCTGTGCATGAATTGCTAATAATATTAAAAAAATGAAATTGAAAAACAAAAAGATTTTGTATTAGTTTGATTAATGAGAGTTTATTGGAGTAAAAGGTTTACAACTATAGGTGTTTATAGCACACTGTAAAAACATGACAATTCTGTTAATATGCAAATTAAAAAAGTAAAAATGCAAATCACAAATAAAATAATTTTTTTATTAGCTATTCTTGTACAGTGCATAAAAATATTTTGATAAGTTTTTGACCGGAATTTTAACCACTTTGTAGTTTTTTTACAATAGTAGGCTTATAAACCAATACAATGCAGACGACACGATATTTGCTTTCTATCCTATTTCCATGCTAAGAAAGGAAGGCGATATATCAGAATAGATAGTTTTTAAACTATTGTTGTTTTATGGCATTAAATGCAATAAATTTAAAAATATTGAAGCATGAAGAAATTTAAATTTATTTGTTGCTCTGTCTAGTATGGTATATTTAGCCCTGATACATAAGATATAAAAGATAAAATAAGATAAGATACAGGGTGTCCAATGAAACATGACAGCTGGTGAATAGTTTTGAATGTCGTCTTCTTATATACTGTATTAGACATTTAAGACTTTTCGTCTAATTAACAGATTTTCTTAGTGGATGGAAAGGAATGTTGCAATAGCATTATATTGGTAAACAGGGTTACCCACAAAGGATGAGACTGTAAATACGACTTGAAACTTATATATTTTGACGATCCCAAGGTTATATGACGTCTTCTGCATTAGATCAAGTCACTGAATGGTTTATTTAATGATTTGGTAAAGAAAGACGCAAATATCAAGTTTCAGGGAAGCATAAACACAAGGAAAAAGAAACAATTTAGCACAGAACTTCGGGGTCATCGAATTAATTTATAGAATGTTGTCTTGACAAATTTTCAATGGATTTTTACTACTATACCTAAATCTCAGTAGTTGTTACAGTAAATAGATAGCCATAAATATGCGGGAACAGTTTTAAAGTGCCATAAAATTATTCAATTAAAATACTAATTATCTGCAACATTCCATTATCTGTAGGTTAAAAAACGACATTTTATGAATTCTTTCGATGTCTCCTAAATCCTAAACAGTAGTATAAATTCCGTACTGTCGTCTTTGAAGTTTAACATTTATGGCTAACCATGTACAGTCGACGATTATAACAGTACAATAAAGACGACTTTTTACTAAAGTTTTGATTGTATACAAGCTTTTTTTTTAAAGTTTACAAGTAATCAAAGAGAAGCTTTTTAAATTGACAGCTTCTCTTTGTTTCCATGTTTATGTGTATCCATTCAGTTTAAAAGTTTGATATAAATCAAAAATTTCAATCGAAAGTCGTCTTTATTGTCTTGATATATGTGACAACGACTGTACTACTGTAGATATTTTGTAAAAAAAACTTGTTGAGCAAGACTACCACCTGTCTAGTCTGAGTATAGTACAAGCTACTATGATCTATCCTACCCGGGACTCATTCTCAAACTCACTCTCAGAAGAAAGCTCAGGTTTTTATTAAACTAGATTTTTGCCATTGGAAAACAGTTTTTCCTTCTGGCCCATATTTAAAAGAAATTGGATAATTGTAGATGGTATTGGAGAACAATTTCAATTCCTTTATTTTTTATAATATTTCGGAAAGAAATGTATGTTTACTTTTTTCAACCCCATGAGTTTTTCAAAGTTACATTGTTTAAATAATTTTTTTTAAAGGGTTCTAAGCCAAGGACCTACTTTAACTAGCTCTGAACACTAAATAGTGATGTTTAAACGCGTATCTTGTATTTGAAATTATACAGTGATATTTGTTCGTAAGTGCGATCATAACTCATGAACCACTTCACCAATTGCGGAAATGTTCTTAGTTTTGTTTTAAAATTATAAGTTGAGTGGGACGACATTTTTAGAGAAAGTTTAGTAAAGAAGGCAAAGCATGAGATTTAAGAATGGTTTAAAAACTTGCCATTTTCATTTCTCAAATTCGTTGTTAGCAAACATTTTTAAGTAAACATCTAACTAATGAGGTGATACCTCTCATATTTGTTCTTTGAATTATTTTCGATAAGTCAATCAAAAAGATAGGATTTAAATTCTAAGAGAATAGTTTGATTAATATATATATATATGTTCAGTTACCACATGGTTCAAACATTTCTCCCATCTGCAGTGTTCCTTTGTATTGCTTGGTTAGCTCTCTTCCTGCCCCCTTCAAGAGAATAGTTTGATTAATATATATATATATATATGTTTAGTTACCACATGGTTCAAACATTTCTCCCATCTGCAGTGTTCCTTTGTATTGCTTGGTTAGCTCTCTTCCTGCCTCCTTCAAGGTTGTCATTTCACAATACTTTTTATTTTAATTCCATTATTTGGGTAAAACGAAAAGTAACAATGATTTAAACAGAATTGTGCAAATCAGATCTATAATTGTAGTCTTAAAAAAGCAGTTTTTCTTTATATTGCTTGGTTAGCGCTCTTTCTGCCTCCATCAAGGTTGGAGTTCTTGCCATAATTGGGTAAAATGAAAAGAAGCAATGATCAGAAAAAAATAACAAAAGAAATATTACAAACCAGACCAAAAATAGTTATCTTAAAAAAGCAGTTTTCTTTATTGCTTGGTTAGCTCTCTTCCTGCCAACAGTAAAGTTGGATTACAAAACTATTAATTCAAATTCTTTCATTGTTCTATCTTTTGGTTAAAATAAAAGTAACAATGATTGAAGAGGGAAAAAATGCTGCAGAACAATGAGAATTTTACAAATTATATTGAAAATTATATTCTTAATAAAGCAGTTTTTCTTTTTATTGCTTGGTTAGCTCTTTTCCTGCCTTCTTCAAGGTTCTAATAAGAAAAATTGGTTCACATTTTTTCTGATTTTAAGATTTTTTTGGGTCTCCAATTGGCTTTTTCGAAATCTGAGAAGTTGAAAAAAATTTGAAATGTTTGAAATTAGGAATGCTTTTTTCAGTTTCTTTTTCTTCCAGATATGTTCAATCGTGTTTTGGTTAATCAACCTTTGAACATATATAGTTGTATTCTGGTCTAAGGACGACTAATAGCAGATTTAAAATCATTTAAAATCAGACCAAAAATTGTAATTAAAAAATAGATTATTTTTTTCTTCAAATATCCTTGATACCAAATTAAATCATCTATTAGTGAGATCTTTTTCTGAAAAGTTTTCTGAACATATTATTTATTCGTTTTAATATGTTAATTATCTTTTTACAGTATTGCTGAAAGGCTCGCAATGGCGATGACGATTATGCTGACTCTGACCTCGAATTTCTCCAGTGAACGAAGGTAAAGCTTTCTGACTGAAATCAATTTTTGAGACTGCAGGTCAACTTTGTTGTTCTCGAATGGCATAGTCATTGATTTACTGTAAAAAACTCATTTTGAATTGCTAAACATGGTTTTTTATGAATTAAAGATTTGTTTTAAGAGGAGTAATTGGAAACATTCTAATATATTTTATGTAAGAACGTGGTTTTATGTAAGGACATGGTTCTTCACAAAATCTAAACCTAGAATTATTATTCAAACATATCATTTTATATCGTATGTATCAAAAATGGAATGATAGTGCAAAGAATAAATATAATAAAAATTTAAGGATTGATCAGGCGTCCAGAATTATTCTTCCTCTAATCTTCCTGGGCTTTAATGGACTCTTCTGGCCTTATCTTCTAAACCCGCATTAAATATAATGTTCATAAAGGAACTGCAAGTGTAATTTAAAGTAACTCTTCATGAAAAGATGGCAATGCTCGATTCATAACGATTACCCTCAGAAGCTTTGCCAGGACAACATACATGAATTCAAAAATACTTTAAACATAGAAAAACGACGATATCCTCCACATTAATGATCAGATAAAGGTTCCAAGGAAATCGTTGTGAATCGGACATTGCCATTTTTCCATAGAGCGTTAGTTTATTTAACGCTTACAGTCCCTTTAATCAAAATAGATGATTATCTTTTAGATCCAAATAAGCAGATTCAAAAATCATCAATTCGAAAATGGCATTAAACTAGCTTTTTTTTTACTTTAGATTGGTAATAATATCTGTTTCCTCTTCTTTTATACAAAATTTATCTTTTCTTTCAGTTTAAAGATCGGGAAAATTATTTCAGCTAATTTCAAAACTTTTAAAATTAAAAGATAGCTAAAAAAAAATTATCAATTATACAAAGAAAGTATCAATAAAAACAGTAAAACAAATAAAAAATTATTTCAAGTTTTTTTTACTCTACTGCTTTATGTTACTTAAATTTAACTTAAACTGAACATTTGGAAAAATACGATGTATCTAATGATAAAAAATATGTAATGACACAGAAAATTAAATTACAAATGCATTTATGAATTTAAAATCGATATCTGTTAGCTTTAAGGAAGTTTATCCTCCATGGCATTAAAGTTAGTATCATTATATCATGGATTTATGTACTTTTGCTTTATCTCAATGTTTTGTAAACCAAAATTACACAAAAATACCTAAACATTTCGGTAAAAAAAAGATGTAAATAATAAAGAAAAATTCTGTAACATTTTCGGTTTTGATGTGAACTGTTCTTGTTTAAAGGGATTGTGACGAAATTTCAAGTTACTCCCAGATTTTAAAAAGCGTTATATGCCAGATTCACAACAGTACCTTTTTGGTCTTTATCGAATTAAAAATGTGGAAAAGAAGTGAATTTTCTCAGCTTCGTTTAATGTGTCTCAACTTCTCAAGTTAACTTTATGAAGAACAGCCTTCGAATATGATCAATTTTCAGAAAGAAAAATATCAAATTTTATTTTATTTTATTATTCGGGCATGTAACTTTTTAAATGGAGGATCGCTTAAAATTGCTTCGATAATCCTTTTTAAACAAATGTAAGATGTATTTTATTTTGAAAATAAATAGAATAATTTCCAAGACTCCATTTTTCAGGGAAAGTAAGTTTTAAATAAAAATAAATTGATCTTCTATCCTGTTCTATATAACAGGACGGAAAACACGCAAAAGCACTAAAGTTTATAAAACATATTTTCAAACTTCATAAATCATAATTTTAAATCGGTTTGACTAAAAATAAAAATGTTGCCAAAAACCAAAAATTACAAAAAAAGTCGTGAATAAAAATAGCAAAATTTCACAAAAATTCAGTATTATTCACATAAACCGTATGAAGAGATGAGGATCAAGTTTGATTTTAAAACCGAAAATTTTTTGTTCTTGAAATAAACCAAAAATATGAAATCATTTAAATATTATATGTCTTTTATACTTTTTATGGCTTTTCAAATTTTCTTATCACATCAATTTTATCATATCATCATAATAAAGAAAATAAATATAAAAAACGACTTATAGTATAAATCTTCCTTCAATTCTGATGATTTTAATCTGAAGGGACGAGTTTTTAACATTGTGAACACCATAAGATAATGATTTAGAGACATTGTGTACACTTTTTCTTCAAACTTATTTCTAATTTAATGGTTCGCTTCTCATTAGGGTTTCCAGCAAAATAGGAAAATCGTTTTTTTTAGCGAATTTTTTTGCGATATCTCGCCTAGCTCGCTTTATTTCGCGAAAGTTTTCGTTCGCTGGAAACCCTACCTCTCATATAGTTACATTTTTTGTATTACTTAACAAGTTACACTACAAAATTTGTGATTATTTGATTGTTATTTTAAAAGGAATCCTTCATCAAATTTGGAAAAAAAAAAATTTTAATCCTTTCTTTAGAGAAAATTCATCTAAGTTATAATTTAATAATGGTCAGCTTAAAACAAAGAATTAAGACTTCATAGTTGAGAGTATGCATTGATTAAAAGAAGAACAAAGAAGTTTACTGTTTTATAGTAATTTGTTAAATGGGTCACTCTGAACCAAAGTAAAATTAGTAAAATTAGGATCACGCTCACGGCGTAGTACAAAAATGACATATATACTATATATTTTTTCGTGTGCTGCAGGTATACAGGGTAACCTAGGGTTATAGTTTTAAGCGTTTTTGGCCAAATCAGTTAACACAACTATGTATAGGACACTATACCTTTTAGACCCAAAACAAATTAAAACACATCAAATCGTCAAAACAATTTGAGTTTCAGATTTTCTTAAAATATTACCCTTTTGATAGTAAAACTGTAATTTCCCAGAGGTAATTTCCAATTCATTGTTCCAAATCCCGAGTGACTAACTTTATTTTTATGAAATGGCGCTATGGATCAAAAATAATTTGCAATCGTTGAACTGGATAGGTCTCTAAAATGTACAGGACAATTTTGAGAAAAAGTACAGTTGTAAAATAAAGTTTTTAACTATATTAGAGAAGAAAAAACAAGATAAGATGGTCAGTATTCCACTGTATGTATAATGCTATAGAGCCTCCTGGAAAAACTACCTATATAACATCGATTGATTTAAAAAATGACCATTCTAAAGGGGCTTTAGATATGCCACTTAATTTAGAGAAAGCTATGCTAGATTCGCAACAGTACCATTTTCACCTTTATCGATCATTAATTTGGAAGAGATCGTTTTTCTAGGTCGGAAGGTATTTCACTCTGAAAATAAACGCCATGTTTCTGTCAGCAGAAATCCGCAAGACATGCAAGAACCCAAAATTGACATGATCAAAGATTAGATAGAGCAACATGAATATTAACTAATATATTCTTTATCATACAAAGGTTACTTAAGCTTACCGTTGTGAATGGGATGTTCCACTCCTATATATCGAGAGTATCTTAAAATTACGTTTACAGGCCCTTTAACAAAATGATGCGGTTGTGGTAGGAGGGGCTGGGTTGGGGTTTCGGTGACGGGAGGGGGGTCCTAGATTTTTTAATCTACATAGATCAACACACTTCCGGTCTGGTCTTGTTCTTATCAGTTCTTATTCCTCAGTTCAAATTAGCAATCCGGAAATAACTATATCTAAACACATTTTATTTGAGAATTACTGTTAGTTCAAAAATAAAAATATAAGAAAAAAGGGAAAATTCTTAATTAATCTTTAACAGGAAAATTTATCAGGGATTTTACACGTATATTTAAAATTTTAAGTTATTTTTACAAACACGCAATATTTTACGTTTGGTTACTTAGTTGTAACATTGTTTTGTCGAAAATAAAAAATTTACAGAAAGAAGTAAACTAGTATAATATTAAGAAAATCACTATTTCCGATGTTAATACCGCTGATTTGCGGATTTTATAATCCTCTTTCAGGGATTTCATATCCTCTACAGAACCTTACAACTGAACTTTTCCTTCTTTTCATAAGAATATAAAGCATCGTCCTTCATTCAGTATATTTGTAAAAAATATTTTCAGTTTCTTTCAAGATTGGTTTTCACACGAGAAAATGTCAGGTATGTTTTTTTTTAAATCTTAACTTTTAAAAAAAATATTTGAATGTGTTTAGAAATGAAAGACTCCAAGGATGAGAGTGGAAATACAGAAACATCTCCTGCTCTCATTATTGGATTAGGAAACATTGTTTTTCCATTATTTTAAGATCCTTTATTTTAGATTTCAAAAATAGATTTAGAAAACGACTGTACGAAATTTTAACTTTCGAATATTATGATTTCCTACAAATGTGATTTGTTAGTTTCTTTGTCCAATCATTAAATAAGCTATTAAAAGACTATATATTTAATTCAATCAAGTTATATTTTAAGAGGGTCAGGTCGTCAATACAGTCTCATCCTATATGGGTAAACCTGATAGATACTGAAATCGAAAATTATTCCTCCTGTAAAAGGATTCAAGCGATTTTGAGTTTATGTTTAAGTACAGTTTTTGGATTGGCTCTCTTTGCGTTTCTTGGAATTTTGAACCATTTTATTATTCCTAAATTCTGCACTAAGAAAAAGGTTAAAACATTATTTAATCGTTGTGTTACACAAAAGAAAACATGAACAGGGTAAGATAAGCCAGACAAATATCGGATAGGATACGATAAGTCGGAAAAAGATTAGATAGGATAAGATGAGATAGAAAAAGATCAGATAGGATAAGATGAGGTAGAAAAAGATCAAATAGGATAAGATGAGTCAGAAAAAGATCAGATAGGATAAGATGAGGTAGAAAAAGATCAAATAGGATAAGATGAGGTAGAAAAAGATCAGATAGGATAAGATGAGGTAGAAAAAGATCAAATAGGATAAGATGAGTCAGAAAAAGATCAGATAGGATAAGATGAGGTAGATAAAAGATCGGATAGGATAAGATGAATTAGAAAAAGATCGGATAGGATAAGATAAGGTAGGAAAAGATCGGATAAGATAAGATAAGCCAAGAAAAGATTGGATAGGATAAGATGAGGAAGGAAAAGATCGGATAGGATAAGATGAGATAAGAAAAGATCGGATAGGATAAGATGAGGTAGGAAAAGATCGGATAGGATAAGATGAGGTAGGGGTGGATCGGATAGGATAAGATGAGGCCGAAAAAGATCGGATAGGATAAGATAAGTTATGGGTGGATCGGATAGGATAAAATGAGTTAGGAAAAGATCGGATAGGATAAAATGAGTTAGGAAAAGATCGGATAGGATAAAATGAGGTAGGAAAAGATCGGATAGGATAAGATGAATTAGAAAAAGATCGGATAGGATAAGATGAGGTAAGAAAATCGGATAGGATAAGATAAGGTAGGAAAAGGTTGAATAGGATAAGATGAGGTAAGAAAAGATCGGATAGGATAAGATGAGGTAGGAAAAGATCGGATAGAATAAGTTTTAAAAGAGTAAAATTTGAATTCACAAGGAAGGGGGGTGCCAGACCCCTAACCCCACGTTTATACGATCTTGAACAATCCTCTTACCAAATTTAAATTGTATAGAAAACTTCAAAAGTAGAAGAAACTGCAGTGCCGGATGAAGAAAAAGCAGAAAAGGTAAAGTCAAAAAAATGTAAGAATATATAAAAATAATGTTAAGTTCAATTTTTTTTTTGCAATAAAATGTATTGAAATCATGATTTGACTTCAAAGGGAAAGGGCGTGATCGGCAATGTATGGTAGTTGAACTAAGAATGTATTACTGAAATTTTTTAGGAACTAAGAATGTAGTATTATGGAGAAATTTTTTAGGATTCATTTGAGACATATAAAACGTTTTAATGATGTATAATTACTGAGTTTGAGCGTAAAGTCGACTTTCAAAATCATCTATTTGGGTGGTTACGTTTTGAGAATGGATTTTTTAAAAATTATTAAGTAACGACGACAAAAAATGTATAAAATATACTACAGTCAACTTTGAGAAAATAAAAATTAACTCTTATCGTCGAGAATGAATAATCTTATTCAGTTATTAGCTTAAGTAATCTCTCATTGTTTACAAACATTTTTTTGTAGATTTTATGGAATTTTTATTGAAAAGACGACATTTGAAGAATTTGTAGAAATCTGCAAATTCGTAAAGAAATAAAATAATGAAAAGGAAATAATTGATTCTAACATTGATTTATTGACAAATTTTTATTGAGAAATATGTTCTTAAACATCTAATTAGTTTACTGTAGAATTTTTTATACATTTTTCGTCGTCTTTATTCAATAATTTTAAAAAATCTATTCTTAAAACGTAACTCCCAAATGGATGAGTTTGAACGACGACTTTGCACTCAAACTTAGTAATTATGCATTATTAAATCGTTTTCAGTTCAACTACCATACATGGTCGGTCACTCCCTTTAAAACGTAATTTTAAGTGACCCTGCATGCAAAAATGGCAATTCCCAATTCGCCACGTTACACTTAAAAACTTTGTCTGATTAAGTATAAATTGAATATCAATGTTCATAATTTTGAAAAAGGATTATTTTCGATTGGGGTTTCTCTGCAAAAGTGACTTGCGAATTTCTACGGCAGAAAAACATATGTAAAATAATCATATGGACGAAAAGACATTAAGGTTTCAAGGGTATTGTAGTGAAACGGGAATTGCCCTCTTTGCATGCCCCTTTAATAAAAATTCACAACTGATAAAATTAAATTTTGTTGCGAAATCGTTTTTTTTTGTTTTTAGGACGAACCCATGGAAGGTTTTGAACGGATATCTTTAACTTCAGCACTTAAGGTTTAGATAAGAATGGATACGATAAATTAAGAAAAAAAACGACCATTACAAAAATCGCACAAAAGTTATAGCCAACAACACTATTTTAGGATGAAAGTCTATTGAAAATGGGAAAAATGAGAAAACTGAAAGGTAAGACATAAATGTAAGATAAATAACTTTAATCTTATTTTTTGTTTGTTTAGAAGTTTTTAAGCCGAAGAGGAAGAAAAAAAGTTCTTCAAGTGAAGAAATACAGGGATAAGAAATAACATAAAAGAATATGGTTAGAATTTTAAAAAGGGGAGTAGAATGATCATTGGGACGTAAAATTAGAAAGATGTATTTTTAAGGTAACTCATTTTTACAAACACTACAAAAGTCTTGATATCGGGAAAAAATAATTATTTCTAACCCTACTGGTTGAAGGGAGGCGAGGTATAAAGTATTTGAGCTATAAACTTTTCTTTTTCGAGAGGGTTCGAGAAAATACTTTACGAGCCCCCTTCAACCAGTTGGGTTTTAGATAATTTTATGCCCTGGAAAGAAAAAGGTATGAATTCAAATGTTAACACTATCAAAATAAATAGATAAACAAAAATGGTACGTCAATTACATAACATATAATATAAAGTTTAAACTTTTAAAAAGTGAATATTAAAGAAAATCCCAAATATTAATGCTGGAAGATGATCATTGAAAAGAATGCGGGAACTTCATAGCAACAAATTCGCAAATATTGAAAGGTGTACGATCAGCTGGGTTGATATTTTACTGTCATACCCGTAAGAAAATGTAAATTTTACCCCAGCTCAGCTGGGAATGTATGGGTTTCAGGATATGTTCACCATAGATTAAAAAGAGGCCACCCAGGTCATAAAGACAATTAAGGGAATTTTTTTTTAAAAACCTGTATGGAACAAATTTAAAGTGTTATTTAATTTGTTCACGGAAGAGAACTATGAAAATAAGTTACAACTGAATTTCCATTTCGGAAAAAAACATCAACTCTACCAAAAAGGTTTCACTCATTATCCCAAACCAAACCTTGAATTATAAAGTCTGATAATGCTAAACAAATTAAAGACAACAGCTGCGAGGAATCAGAAATATTTGAAAAACGCGGAAAAATTCCGTACAGTCGTATCTGAAGAAAGTTTTATGCGTTAATTATGGACTATGGCTACTATTTTCCCGTAAACAAATAATTTAAAAACTCCCCCCTCCTTCCCCGGCAGGAAAAAAAGTTTCGTATTTCTTGAACCTTGAAGAAGACTGAAGGTGGGATTGACGAGCTAGAAAAAGGCCTAAATATAGACCTCGATGATAATGATGATGAATTATCTCTGAGGTATTTTTGTTTTCTTATTTTAAAATTCATAAATAATTGTCAACCCAGGTCTTGTTTAATATTTATAAATGTTTTCTTTTAATTTTTCGCAATCAACGGGAAAACAGCTAAACAATCGATTCGGCCAACATTTTTGAGGGAATCGTTTATATTGCCGGTTAGAGGACTGGTCAGCGGACACGTTTTGGCCAATATTACTTTTTTTACCCGTTCGTAAACGTCTTTAATGCTAACGATTTGAATTTTAACGCTATTAAAATAAACTTCCTAAAATTCGTTAACTGCATTAACGGAATCATCTGTTAATTAACTACAGTATGTTAAGGGAACGTTGCCCATGCCCAATACTCGGTTATTTTCAAACCAAAACTTGTAAACAAATCTAGCAGAGTAAAAATTTTAAAACAACAAATGCATTCAGAAACTGGTTGCAAAAATACATGGATCATAAACTTGAATATGAAATACGTTCGTTAAACCTTTTTCAGTTCTGCTTCCTCAGTTGAGAACTCTCGTCCGAAGTCTTCATTTCCAAACCGTATTCTCGATATTATAGGTTTGTAATCTAATTATTAAAACTACACTCAAAAGTAACTTTTCCCCTCCCCCCCATTTATAGAGTAGACATTTAGTTCTAGACAACTATGAAAGGTTGCATAGATTTAAAAGATAATGGGCGACTAAGACTTTACCTCAGTAACTCAAAGATACTTTTTAAGACCCTAAAAATGATTTTTAAACTTTAAAGAAATTGTTTTTAGCTTTTTTTCAAAGAAATAATTGTCAAAATTCTCATCAATATTTGTGTGAGAGGTTGTAACCTTTAAATCATTGTGTGGAATGACCTTAAAGCGTTGTCTTATGAAGAATAGATGAGATAATCATAATATCTCTTAAAAAACTGTTTATTTTTAATTGTGGTTTCTTCATAAAAGTGACATGCCAATTTCTTGGTACAGTAACAATTGATGAAATGATGGCCGGGAGTTAAACACTTTTCAAGAAAAAAAAAAACGAAAATATCTTTCAAATGATTGACAAAATAAATGTTGAAAGGATACCGTTGTGAATCAGGCATCGTCCTCTGTACATAGAGGGACAATTTGAATTTCAACTTTACTTTACTTTAAAGGAATTGTTCACTAAATTCGAAGAAGTCAAACCTTATAGAAATCCAACGTATAGAAACAGCTACGTATNAGGGGGTGCATGGCTACTTTAGCCAAAGGGTTTGAGTCTTTGCCACATTCCAAAAATTTATAATTTCTATATCTTTGCAACCTGATAGTGTTTACCTTTAATATTTCAAAATAAATTTTTGGTCCAACATAACTTATAGTTAAAGATATCTCAGGTCATACGACATTGGGTTGTAAAGATAAATGGATTAAAAAATCAGAGTTTGTGGCAAAGACACAATTCTTTTATTTAAACCTTGTAAGGGACCTCAGAAGCCTATATGAAAAATCAGCTTCTCAAGTGTACAATTTACAAATTGTACATCATGTCACGTCACGCACTAAATTTTTAGTTAGAAAAATAGGGATATTTTCATAATCTTTGGTCAGACAATATTTTAATGTGTACAATTATGGACTGCGTGGGCTTTCCACTCTACAAATGAAGAGTAATTTAAACAGACTGGTCTAATTTCAAACGACCCCTGATCAAGATTGAATAATATATTCTTGATTTTTCTTTAAAATTGGTCATTTTCATCTGTGCTTTTATTTCAACTTGCCTTGCTGATTAAAACGCTTTTCAAGAAAAACGACGATATCTTCCTGCTTTATTGGTCAGATAAAGGTTAAAGAGGTACTATTGTGAATGGAGATGAACCCCTACTGTACCTTTAACATCAGGAAATGAACTCAGGATACCTTTTATCAAGAAGAAATGAAACCCTGTAAATTTCCATTTTAAATTCCTGTCTACGCAGTGTACTCATTAATCATGTTGTGGTATCTATCTTTATCTATAGATCTAGGGATAATGAACTTGGTTTCTCCAACATTATGCAATATATATACCTGCCTCCTACACCTTGGTGCAAGCAGATTATACCAAACTTAAAACAACAAAATGTTCAAGGAATTGAGCCTTTGCCAAAAACCCAAATTCGGTTGCAAAGATATAGGAATTAGAATATCAATTTCTTTATCTCGGTATAAAAGTAGGATATTGTATTATTAAAACGTCACAAGTTTTTATCTTAAGTCTGGTTGTTTATAAACCAATACTATAGGAAGAATTACATGGTATATGTACACCCATACATTGTACAAGGAGACCCATCAAACAGTAACTTTAAATATTTAATAATTTTGCCAAAGTGGAGAAATGTAATCTCTGCAATGCACCAAAAGAGTCTGAGATTGTTTATTATTGGGACTCGGACGCAAACTTTTGTTGCTATGCAAATATGTTACGGATTGAAAATTAAAGTTATGATTTAGAATTAAAATCTTATCAGTGGTCGAAACTTCTGTTGGTAATAGCGCTCATCTACAACGCTTGAATTTGAGAGTCGACGGGCATTGCTTGATTCCTTGCTGGATTCCGATCGTTAGATGTCCAAGAGGAATTAACTTGATCTCATGTCAAATCTGCTTAATAACTTAATCAAACAATGAAGATACAAAAGTTTTGACCTTAAACCATTTATTTTAACTTGACTTATAAAAAATAAAACTGGATTAGCGCAATAAATGAATATGCAATTTATAACAAAGAACAAGATATATGCACTTTGCGCGCATTTTACCTTTTATTCTAAGTGTTCAAGGGTAAGGTTCAGTTTTGCAATAATTCCGAAATGGTAATGAGTGTAAATGATAGATAAATGGATATTTGAGAATTCAACGCCTTTTCTCAAAAAATGCCGATCCATGATTACCTCTTATATTTACTTGTGTGGCCAGAGGCGGTATGATATTCAACCTATTCATTGCTGCAACATATGATTTTATGTAACACTTTTGTCAGTGTCCTCTTCAGGGCGTCCTTTTAAAGGGACTGTAAGCAGAATTTTAAGTGACCGTCCATGCAAAAATTGCAGTGCACAAATCATAACAGACCCTTGAAAGCTTTAACTGATCAATAATGTGGAAGGTATTGTCATTTTCCAAGGTTTACAAAAGTGTTTAATTCTGATAATTCTGATAATCAGTTTATCATAATCATAATAATTACTTACGTTTATATTACTTCATTTTTTACTGATTTAAATTAGTAACGTTTTTGTGCCGGCGATGATAAAATTTTGAGTAAAATGTTGGATAATAAGTGTTTAATTACTTATTAATATATAATAAGCTATTTTTTCCGGGGTGTAATAATTCTAAAACATACCCCACACAGGCTTGGTATATAAATTCAAGTTTGATGTATAATGTTTCTAAAACATGCATCTTTATTCTATATTCTAGATTAGATTCTAAATTTTCCCAGGACTGCCAAAGTTTAAACAAGACTCTACTCTTTACAGTTAATTTTATGTAATGTTCACTAGATAAATATGTCACTTATAAGTTATAACTAAAGTAGATTTTATTTTAGATTAAAATCGTCAAGAAATATTTTTTAAAACCCTTATATGTAACAAAACAATAATAAAGTTGTACCAGAAATTTAATTTCATATTAGAGTTATCTTTTCCCTCATATCTAATAAAATAATTGTTCATTTATTAAAGTGATCATGAAAACAAATCTTGATTATTGAAACGAAAATGAAAATACTTTTTTTTCTAAAAATGGATTTTTTGGCTTCTGAGTAAGTTAAAATAGAAAATTTTATGATGATAGATCCAAATTGTACAAAAAGCAAAAACCAAAAAATCTCCCTGGAAAAGTCAATGATAAATATGAATATTTTAATTTCTAAAATAATATTTAACAATATTTTTAGTTTAAAGTAAAATCTGGAAAGTTTTTGGTTCATTATTTGGGTTTTCCCACTTTTTACAAAATAATTGAACAATCCCTTTATTATTTCAGAAATATTTCAAATATATGAAATCTGCAATGAATTTATTGCGTGCCGTTACTTTTTAGCTAGAAGCTAAATCCAACCAAAATTTATGAATTTGTGTAAATAAAATATTTATTTGTGCACAATTAAACAGAACATTGCGAAAAAAGGTTGCAATTTTTCTTCAAGGATGTGCAATCATGAAATGGCAAATGTAGTTTATAGTGCCATACTTTCACAGTCATTCAGTTCATACTTGATAAATATATATATATATATATTTGATTTATGATTTTTTTAAAAGAAGGTTTTTAAAATTTTAACTTTATGCTTTGTTAAAAAAAGGATAAGACTTCAGAGAAGGCTGTTCGGGATTTATGACTTATATTGATCGTTCCTTGTAGATTTTAACTTTTTGTGTGTTTAAAAAATAGATTTATGTAAAACCTTTTTTAACCCATTAATCTATGGTTTAACCTTACATTTTAGAGATCTGTAATTGATTAATTGATTGATAAATTAATTATTTTTAAGTGGGTGAACGAGAAGAGGAAAGTGTATATTATTGCTAGTTTAAATGATTGCTGGGGGGCAAAGGATAACTTGTTTGATGGAGTAATTCAACATATGGTTCTATATCATATACGATATAACTCTTTAATGTCCTGTATACATGGAGGGGGCCATACATATCCATTTTGAATAAACGATCGGTTTTGGATCAATAAAAGTAATCATTAAATTAAGAACGTGGAGTAAATAGTTAATGGGGTTGGGGTTATGCTCTTTTGTCTAGTAAAAAAAATCATTTCTTTGTAAAGAGTTGGTTTATCTTAACATGGGTCTGCATGAATAATTTTTTAGATTATCGGGATTTATTGAGAATTTTTGCATACCAGAAACTTTAATTAATTTTAATTATAAATCCTTGAGCTACGCCCTCGGGTTTATAATTAAATCCCCCCCCCCCCCGGGGGATTTAAACTCTCATTGATTCAAATTTTTCTCAGAGTAAATGATAAAATTTTACGCATACAGTGAGACCCTTAAAACTTTTGAATGGAAATACGATTTGAAGACTCAAGTTTGATTTCAAATAATCCAATTTGAACATGAAACACGGCAAGTGTGCAGTGTCGGAGAGCTTTGATATTTCAAGCTTTGAATTCTGTTAGATCAAATAGTATAAGTTTTAAATATCTAATGTTTTCACCAACAGGTGCAAAGGTATAGGGATATCAAAATCAGAGCTTCTTGCAAAACTCAGTTCCCTTGCAAAAATTCAAATATTTTGCGAACTTTATTTTTATTGTATTGTTGCAAAATGTATTATCAAGCCAAAATAAAAAATTGACATGTCTTATTTTAAGACCTGATAATTTATCTCCATTTTGACAGGGCTAAAAGATATTACATGTTGTTATAATTGTGCACACAATGCATAAAGATACAGGTTATATCATTGAGTAAGGAATACAAGGGAGAGACAACTGACGCGGTTCGCCCTACCATATGATTATACATGCTCTGCAGACGGTACTCCATTTTATATCGAGCTGTTTGGTTTCTTTAGTAGGGCCCCACAGGAAAAATATGTATTGGCGAAACTGGTCAAAGAAAATTGAGCCAATACATATTTTTCCTGTGGGGCCCTACTAAAGAAACCAAACAGCTCGATATAAAATGGA